ATTACGTCAGCGTATAAAACAATGTATGGAAAAGATCTTATAAGCAATTTAAAAAGTGAATTATCAGGTGACTTCGAAGATTTGATCCTGGCGCTAATGGAGCCGCCAGCACGATATGATGCACAACAACTTCATAAAGCTATGCAAGTATCGGTTTATCATTTGTAATATTTTTTAAATTTATTATCACATCTCTTTTTCGTTCTTATATATCACCAAATACATCAAATATTTGTGTGGTTAGAAATTTTGCACGACTAATTGTACAGATGAAATATTCAATTCCAAAACTGAATAAAAGGATTGTGAAGAGCGCATTTACATAAATACTTCGATGCATAATTTATTTAAGTAATTGAAATTATGGAAGAACTCTATATTGACAACCAGTGATCAAAGACATCTACTAATCAGTATCTTAGTACTTCTGCCTAAGTTTGATTACTTAAATACCTAGAATTATATATTCGAATGCTTTTAGTTAACATAAAAAAATATACGAAATATATGGATGCAATTAAATTAATGCTTTTCAAATTCATGAATGTTATGATATTCAAAACTTTATTGTATATAATTATTAATTCCATCATTTAAAATTTTTCAGGGTTTGGGTACAAAAGAATCAGTGCTAATTGAAATTATGTGTTCACGAACAAATGCACAAATTGCTGAGTTGCGGAACGTTTATCAGCAAATGTACAATTCAACATTGGAGAAAGATTTAATTGGTGAAACAAGTGGACATTTTAAACGATTACTCGTATCATTATGTAATGGTGGACGTGATGAAAGTATGCAAACTGACGCTTTACGTGCTAATCAGGTTATCTTTTTGGGTACTATTTATGCTACAATAATCGAAATATATGACCTCATGCATAATCATTATCCATAAATTAAAGCTTACATAAAAACTTCATCAAATGAATCTTATCAAAAGAAATTTTTTTAAAAAAAAATAAACTTTTGATAAGTTTATTCATACATGCATCTTTGTTGCATATGAAAATTCTAAACTTTTCAAAGCTAGAATATTTTAGGAATATTAAATTTAAAATTCTAAAACTAATAAAAAAATTAGGAAAATAAAATTGTTATCAACAAAACTATAGCCACTTGATGCTTTTCTGTAAAATGAAAAATCTATTAACAAATTTTTCCGTTTGTAAAGCTTATTTTTTAATGGCAATATTAAAAATGTTCTCGTTCTTTTTTTGTTGTAATCATGGAAATGTTCTTCGATAAGCGATATTATTATTTTCAGGATGCGAAAAAATTATACAACGCTGGTGAACGACGTCTTGGTACCGATGAATCATGCTTCAATGCTATTTTAGCTTCACAAAATTACGCGCAACTAAAATTAATCTTCCTAGAATATCAAAAGGTTAAGTAACTAGAAGTTGACAAGAGTTTCAATCTGGTCAGAATACTTTTAAGATTTTCAATTCTGCATTCTTTTTTTGCATTTTATGCTATTTCATAAATTTGTAATTACGTTTCGTCTATAATTGTACTTTGATTTTCAAGTTTGAGTTCTGTTTTTTCTTTTGATCATATTCAGAATCAAAATTTGCATAAATTTTTCCATCTACGAGCATTTTTTTCAGATAACAAATCATACAATTGAGAAAGCAATTGAAGCTGAATTTAGCGGTGATGTCAAGGATGGCTTATTAGCTATTGTTGCTTGTGCACAAAATAAACCCGCTTATTTTGCCACCTTACTTTACAATAGCATGGTGGTAAGCTATTATCATTATTTCACAAACGAAAAATGTTACTGTAGGAGGAAAATAATCATTTATAATACCAATAAAAGAATAACATAACAATAGCAAAATGTTTTTTTCACATTCATCCGATAGTGCAAATTATTACGGATGGAATAAATTAAATCGACATTTTTAATTACATCAGGAGTATATTTCTAAACAAAACAATTTTTTTCAATCAAAATTTTGTGATATTTTTTTTAGGGATTTGGTACACGTGACAATGATTTAATTCGTATTATTGTTACACGTTCTGAGATCGATTTAGCAGATATACGGCAAGAATTTGAACGAAAATATAATAAGAGTTTGGAATCATTCATTAAGGGTGATTGTTCGGGAGCATACAAAGATGGTCTTATTGCACTTGTTCGTGGCAATTAATTCAATTTAACTTTAAATTTGAATTCTTCCAATTTCAACTTTAAATTTGATTTTTTTAATCTTTTTAACTCCAACAAATTTTCGCCATTTTATGATTAAAACTTGAATTACTAATAAAATTAAATTCGTACATTGCATATCAAAGAACATATTACGAACAAACAAAGAGTAAATAACTAAAACTTGGTATATACGGATGCAATTTCTGATTCATCAAAAATTCCTTCCGGTTTATAAGATATAATATCAAAAATAAGGTTTTACTCACTCCATAACTGACACTTTTCATTCAATGACATTACATTTGGATACAGAGCTTATACCTGGCTTATCTGTCATACAATCTTCGAATCATATCGATCAGGAAATATCGTTTTATATTTCTCAACATGCAAAATGAATTCTAAACAAAAAGCGGTGGGAGCTAAATTTTCCATTCCTTCATCTCAATTTTTCCTTTCCTTCTACCTCAAGAATTAAAGTTCACATTATATTGCAAGGCACTTTAATGAATAAAAATGGTTTATTTTCAAAGATACCATGAGGGACAATCATTCAAAATGGATACAACAGAAACGAAATGGAATTGATTGAAACATAATAATAACAAGGAAATTTGTTTTGCATAGCAAGATTAAAGAAACAAGAGAAAGCAACATGTTCAGAATCTGAAGATTAGATTGATATGAGGAGTATTAGATTGGTATAAATTTATATAAATCTCATGATTTGCACAAATTTATACCAATATGATATTGTTTAAAGTATACAATAAATGATTTTATGGAAGAGAAAATGATCAAGAATTAGCAATTCTTTAGATCATCAAATTGAATCTTAACTAGTAACACTTTGCAAAACATGTTCATACTTTTACCGTATTTTTGAACATAGAACGACAATACGCGTAAAAGAAAGCCTAACGAACAAGGCCTCATTAATAAGCAATGAAAGAATAAAATTTACTACAACATAACATATGATGGGATAAGATACAGAATTGCAACAAAAATGTTAAAAACCTGGACTAAAAAAGTGAGGTGGAACGTAAACTTCTTCCTCGCATATCAATTTTTCCAGAATAATTGCTTACTATTTCAATCGGCCAATGAAATATGTGGCAGAAGATATGAAGCCATTTATAAAACAAATGACATAAGAATACACTAACAGGAAAAATTAAAATAATAGCAAATAAGTTTTAATGTATGAAAAAATTTCATTAAAAAATCACCAACATCGACCATCAATCTTCATTCCCATCAGTTTCTGAAATTAAAGACATTTGTTATAATAGTATAAAATGCAAAAACCAAACTATAATTTATAATTTAAATTGAAATAGGCAAACAGACAAGAAATATACATCATCCTTAACATTGTCGAATATAGTTATATACATAAATATTGGAGACAACACATGCACATATTTTTTGAAACGTAAAAAAAAAACATTAATACATTTTGCGACTCAAATTAAAAATCATTATGTATTTCTTACTATTTTTTCCATTTTCGTAAAGAATGTCATACAGCAAATGATGCAAAAAAGTCATGCTTTCTCAATATCCATTTCTAAGTTACTCTTTAGTGAAAAAAAGAAAAAATATTCTAATTCATTTTGTATCGAAGAGGACAAAAACAGCAATTAAAGTGAATTTGTATCCTAATAAGTCTTCAATTTACTGCTTTCCTTCCCCTTCTCATTTTATTTTCTGATAATATTGAATTTACTTTTATTTTTTCAGATTCTAAAATAAACTTCTGATTTCAGTTATTTGCAAACTTGTCAAAAGTATAAAACACCAATAGATCTGGCACGCATACAGAAAAAAAGAAAAATATTCAATGCGACAAAAAGGAATAAAGCGATATCATTAATAGTGTGTGGAAGCATCAGGTGTGTCTTCGATCAGTAATGTGACTGCATATTACCGGTGAAAGGCACACCCCTGAATAATAGGTACAAATAAAACTGCTAGAAAGGTTCAAAATGCGAGCGGCTGTTGATACCATCACCGAATATTTGCTGAGATGTCAACAGATGAGAATCATTTGAACTTATCAGTCAACATGCAGCAATATCTTCCTGCCTTCTTTTGAGGCTTTCGTAGCACTCAAAGAAGTCATTTTTTAAGTTTTAAGTGTATCTTGCGTCGGTAATTTCATGATGAGAAAGAAATCCCAGATCAAGATCAGCATGGGAATAAAATTATACAAAAACAGAAAATCATGAGGGAGATAGAGTAAAGTATTATTCCAAATTTCATCAAATGTTGAAACATATATGTTATTTCCAAAATTTAATTTGATTGAAGACCATTTATGCCTTACATAAGCAGCCACTAAAACATGCGTTGCCTTTTACAAGTACACTTGTTTCTTAATGTTTGTTATTGTATAACAGTGAGGAGAACTAATGCATAGAAGAAATAGCCATTTTAAAATGCATTTTCAGTCTACACTGAATTAAGCAAAATCAAACTAAAGAAGTACAAAAAGCTGAATCAGAAAGAAAAATTGTCCTAACAGTAAAATATACCCGAATTTGCGGAGTAATCACCAAAGTTTCCACTATTTCACTATTTATTACCCCCTAAAGTTGGCATAACCAAGACCTTTACTGATACTTACAGCTGTGATCACAAGTTCTTAATTATGCTATTTATCAACTTCTTTTTTGAAAGTTTTACTGTTTACTTTAAAAATTATAAAAAGATGAGTCCAGATTGCTGAGAAAAACTAAGGAAGCTAAAACAAGTTACTCTGTCGTTTGGATTAAAAAATTCACTATCTGAACAATGACCTAATCAACTTCAACTACAAATGAAACACAAGATTTTGAAAAAAATTAATCAGAATAACGGGGAAAATCCTTACATCCAACTTCCTTTGCATCTGCCAGCAAAATCATCGTTAGCAGATCCTGAAAAAGGCTCAAAATCCCAATGCAATACTTATTAAAAACTTCTATGCAAAATGAAATGATTGCAAAAACAGCTAATTTTGAACATTTCCGATATTTTAATTAACATAATGTCTTCAATATTTTAATTAGCATCACTCTTTTTTTGTCTGGAAATTCATTTTTTGTTCAAAAAGAAGACTCCAAAGCATACGTTGACTCTCCTCATAATCAGCTCTTCTGACATGATCATTAGCAATGTCAAGAAGAAAGTCTGGAGGTATTTGTTGCACTTCTCGAACGACCTAAATCAACATATATTTTTATTTTTTACATAAATATTTCCAATTTTTTTTCAGTGATCAATCATCACTATAATAACTAATAAGTGTATACAAAAACGTAGCAAACATATAAAAACAGGCAACTGAACAATTAGTACCATATGTACTCCCTTCCC